GTGGTATTACTGTTAAGATCAGATGTGAGACATCTGATTTGCTGTGGTTGTTGTTTTCTTGACTTTTCTTACTCTAAATTCAGTGTTTCTGTAATTGTGTCTCAACTATAATGAGTTTAATCCTATGAACCAAGCCAGAGATAAGATAAACTGAGTCTTAGTATGATAGAACTAAGTTTCCTCTGAGTAGTTTACCTGAAGGAAAACTATAGAAAACAGACAATCAGAAAATAGCTTACATCCTTCCTGAGTAAAGCTTTGGTAAAGAGAAACTATTGTCACTGTGAGCCAATTTGAATTAGCTGCATATACTTCTATTTCATATTTCTGAAATTTCTACATGAGAAAAACCACAAAGAGCCACATACCATGCATTTAATTTTGCCTTGTGCCAGCAGTCCCACAGAGAAAGTGGTATCATGAAACAAATCAGATGGAAATCTAGCTGAAATTCAAATGAAACTTTTACATGAATGATCCAAATGTATGTTTTTTTATTTTAGCAAGAATATTTCATCTTTGTTCTTTTTAAATCACCGCAACCCCCCCCCCAAATGAATTTATAGTTAGTTTTGGTGGCATAGGTTTTACATTAGTTGAGATTAGCAACAAGGTTTTTTAAAAATTTAAAATGTAGGCTGGGAGTGCTTTGATTCATTAATGTGATCTAGGCTGTCTGTTTTATTAAATTAGTACCCCTGTGTAGCTTTTACCAATATATTTATTATCATGCCTAGCCTTGTGTTTTTGAAAAATGTTTTAATATTTCTCTTTTGATAATCTAATATTTTTATTTCAGCTGTTAATCATGCATTTCACTCAAAATCAGTACCCACAGAACTTATCACAAACCTGAATATTCATCATTTGATGTATGGGGATACAGAATGGAAAAAGCAAGTATTTTGTTTTCATACTGTGCATAATAATTCTTTTCCACAAGATGTGATGATACTCAGCAATGTAGATCTGTGGCTTTAAAAAGAGATTAGAGAGCTTCGTGCAGGGCAAGGCTGTTAGCATCTAGTATTCATGATAGCTATATGCCATCTTAAAGATCAGTTGCTTCTGAATACCAGTTACTGGGAAACTGCAGCAAAAGAAAGGTCTATTGCCCTTATGTTCATTACATGTGCTTCCTGTTGGTATTTATTAGCCACTTTGGAAAATGATGGGTTGGACTAGATGGACTTTGGGTCTTATCCAGCGAGACTCTTATTTTGTCCCGCAGGAAACATTGATTTGGATATGTGAATAAGTCATTGTAAATATAATACATCAAATAGAACTTCAGTTGCACCTGTCATCACCCTTGGAGATGCAATGATCTTCAAACAATCTGTCAACACTCTTCAGTGAGGGAAGTGGCTGATGTCAGTGCACAGACCTTAGTAGTCCATGATTTCTCCTTTTAAAAAAATTGAATCTTTTCATCTGCTGGTACATTTTAAATATACAGTATACAGCAAAAGTAGATAGGTGATCCTAACAGTTGAAACATATCCAATCTGTTGTAAATTATTTTAAGTATTTATTATTGTTTAAGACCTTAAGCGGTACTTAGCTCGACCAGACCAAAGCCCATCCAGTCAGTATTCCCCTTATTAATTTCAGCCACCAGACATGGTCCACTCGAATTATGGAATTTGTCCAGAAAGACATAGTACAACACACAGTACTGTATTAGGCAGTTGGGATACTTTAAGCAATTCATGTAATGGGATTTCAGCATTATGTTGTAGATGAAATGTCTGGAAGAAAGATTCTTCCTACCCCATTCACACACTCACCATTGCTACTGAGTATAGCAACAAAAGCAGGAGTGTACAGTCCCCTGTCATGGCCTTGAATGTGAGTTCAAGCAAATATTAACCTCCAATTTATGTCTGATTTGGTACAGTTCTTTCAGCAATGGAACTCTTTTTTTCTTCTTCCTTTTTGCATTGGAAAAAAGGAAACCAAAATATTTTGCATTCATACAAAACACTTCATTTAAAACTGGAGACATAACTGTGCTCTGTGAGTAACAATGAATGGTGAAGAAAGCATATTTGGGGCCAGAGTCATTCCAATTGAATTCATTTGGAGAGTGTCTGAATACTTAGTGGAATTTGGCTCAGGTCATTGGTAAGCAGCCCTGAGGAAAAAGATGTGTGGATTGTTAAAAGAATTCCATTTCTGTTTTGGTTTCTTACTTTCCTTAATCAATTTCAATCAAAACTAGTTATTCTGAGTTTCTGTGATATGTAATGTCACTAGTTTCTAATTAGTGTGCAACATTTTAAAACAATAACATTAAAAAAATTAATATACCACTGCTGATCAATGTAAAATACACCATTTGGTCTCAGGTCTGCACTGAGAAAGAAAAACAGGCAGAAGGGAGGGAAATTATCACACTCACAGACATCTGAAATTTACATTAAAAATCTATTTCTGGAGTAACTAACCTTTTATGAGAGACATATATTGTAAAGACCACCCATAGAATTGGTCCCACTAAGTTGAGCAGGACATAAATGTTCGTAATTAACAAACAAAATAAACATTCACAAACAAATAAAACATCCCAGTGTGTCCCTGATTGTGATTGAACTGGAACCAAATTCATCTGAAGGGTAGTTAATAAAAGGGTTTCATTGAACCAAGGTGCACAGTGGTGATACTAGCAGATTGGTTGTGTATATTTAAATCCTCAGACATGGAGCTCACTGAATAATCTTGGAACTATGGTGAGGTGTTAACCATTCTATATCAATTCTATGCTTCTTAGACAAAATGTCATTTAAAGGTAACCAGTCAAACACTTGGCCACAGAGGCAGATACCTGCCACAGCCTTCAAATACAACCATATGCGTGTCCAAAACCTATAAAATGGGGACAAAATGTTATTGTTAATTGCTGTTGTTTTATATATAAGGTATATAGAATGACATTTATATTTTGTATTTATTTTATTTAAAATATTTTACCTCATCATTCTCCTTAAAAAGGGCCTAATGTAACATATCATTAAAATACATTATTTAAAACTAAAAACAGTAAGTACAGTGGTATCTCGACTTACACACTTAATCCATATTGGAACGGTGTTTGTATGTCGAAAAGTTCGTAAGTCGAGGCAAGATTTCACATAGGAATGCACTGAAAACCATTTAATCTATTCAGGCTGTATTTTGTTCATATGTCGAGGCGCTGTTCGTAGGTAGAGACAGTAGTTCCCATAGGAACTAATGCAAAGCCAGTTAATCTGTACTCTACCACTAGGGGGAGAATTTTTTTAAAAAATTTCTTCTTTTGACCTAAGATGAATTTAGGTCAAAAAAAAAAAAAAGGCAGGAAATGTTTTCTTTTTTTTAGTTCATAAGTCGAGGCTCCATTCATAAGTTGAAGCAACATTTTGCGAACAGAGCCATTTGTAACTTGAAACATTCACAAGTGGAGACGTTCGTAAGTCGAGGTACAACTGTATACACATTCTAAAAAGGATCCAACAAATCCCACACTAAAATAATGATAAACGAAAGCAAGACCAAAAACACATTCAAAGTAGTAATGCACAACTATTCATTTAAAATCCCCACTCAGGCAGGCAGTCACTCAGGGAAAGCTTTCCTGAAGAAAAAGGCCTTAGTCTACTTGGGGAAGGACAACAAAGATGGGGACGGTCTGGCCTCCTGTGGGAGGGAGTTCTAAAGTTTGGGAGCATTGATAAAGAAGGGCCTCTCCCATGTCCCCACCAAAAGCACCATTATTATATTCTACGTGCTTTTGCAGAAGTTTCAGTTCTTGGCTAACAGTACTATCTAATGCAATACATCTGTAAGCCAGTAGCAAGACTACAGTGGATGTTACAAATGCTAGAAGTATTGTAATGATGCAGGTAGCATAATAAAGGACTGGTGGAGTTTTCATCTTTTCTGAATTGCATCACATATTTTGCTGTTCATTACTTGAATCTCACACTGGTAATTCCCCCCTAATTTAGAGTCATCAGTCTAAATAATGAAGTCAATTCTTCAGAGTTTAAACTAAGTTATCCTAGTTTTGCAATACACATTTCTGCTTAGGCAATAAACATCTGTCATCTGCCATTCATTAATATTAATTATAAATGGTTGCTAGCTGAGAGGATCCAAGTCCAGCAGCTGAGATTTTTCCACAATCTGACCTTGTCAGAGTTTGTATAGAAAGGGTTCTGTTACAGGGGAGCTCCATATTCAAAGCCAACAATAAGTGGAGTTTGCTGTACACAGCAAAAACCAAGCGTCATCAGTGAAAATAGTAGAAAGAAAAAGGAGACAGGGAGAAAATGTGTCAAGAATGATCTTTAAATGTTTAAAAATTTTAACCTTTTGTGCTGGCTTAAAACATGAAGAAGAATTATTCTTAATGATGGTGTACCATCCATTACATGGCACAATAAATCAAAGGTTGTGCAAATTTGTTCATCTCATGTTTTAGGAATGTGACTATGTTTCAAGTTGAAAGACTGCTTGTGTTTTAAATGGAATCCCTTAGATGGTGAAAGACAGTGGGGGCATTTTTTTAAAAAATAACTATTTAATATAATTGTAAGCTGAAGATTAAAGCACAGACATGAATATAGCTGAAATTCTTTTTAGTGGGACTACGCTTTCGCTGCAGACACAGGCCTAACAAGGGTTACTGTTTGGAACAATTAATTATTTTCCTCTCCATATGGAAGAAGTTTAGTTTATTATTCAAAATGAGATAAGTTTAGCTAATTATTTAATACGATGAGAAGGGAAAAGTGACCATAGGGTATGAATGAATGATAGAAAGTCACTATTTGTTTTATAGTTACAAGAATAATGAAGTATGCATTCAGGTATTTTTGATACATTTCTGTACAACCCAATGCTGTGCATACTTTATCAAAAGTGGAAACATATGTAATACTTTAAGAGCAGGCCACACATTTTGGAAAATGCTTTCACACAGAGCTTGAAAATTTTTATTTTCTTTGGACTGCCACTCCCAGAATCTCCTGACCAGCATAACCAGTCCACCTCAACCCGCATCTGTGTAGATTTATCATCCTCATCCTCATCATGATATGCCGATAAATCAGTTCAGACTTATGGAGACCCTTTCCAGGGTTTTCTAGGATACAGTACTCAGAAGTGGTTTACCATTTTCTTATTCTGGAGGCGTCTTTGGACTTTGCAGCTTACCCAAGACCACACAGGCTGGCTTTTTCCGGAGGAGGTACAGCGGGGTATTGAACTCCCAACCTCTGGCTTTGTAACCAGATACGTAAAACACTGAGCTATCCATCCTGTAGATTTATAGGTGGCATCAATTCATTTGACAAGGTCACAATGGAAATGTATAAAAGTAAAGCAGGGAGGTATTTCCTAGCCTTTCTTCTTCAGGTGTAAGCGATTTGAGATACCTGAAGAGGACTTTGATTTTTGGGGGTCAATGCCCCCCAAATTCTGGCTGGGGGAATTTCTGCAGACTTGTAGAAGCTATAGTCCATGCCTGACCTGTGGTTGACAAGAAACATGATTTACACCATAGTTTTAGGTGTCCTGTTACATTTCATGGATGGACGGTTGTGTTGGCTTCTGAAGCCCATGAAGACAAGTGCTCATTTCTCTTTTCTCTCCCGCTTGTAAAAAAAATTATTGTGTTTTCAGAATAATATTTTTCTTGAACTGCATTTCAATACTTTCATCAAAGCTGAATTCCTGCTTCATCCATAGCACAGGAGAACCCATGAACTCCTCTTTAAAGAAACAAAGCTCACGCCGAACAATTTGCCTCTTTGTAAAAGGAAAGTTTGTTTCCATATTAATTTAGTGGCTGAAATCTTGTTGCTTAGCACAGTAAAGCAGCTCTAGAGTAGGTCTGCTGAATCAGTGCGGAGTTGATAAGTCAACCCCTCTATAAATTCCATTGATTTGAACGGGCCTACTCTAGTTGCAACTTAATAAGCTTTTGAATCAATGGAACATATAGAGGAATTGTCTCACCAAATCCCCTCTGATTCAGTGTGCTTACTCTAGTGCAACTTACTATGCTAAGCAACAGGATTTCAGCAAGTATTAGAGAACCCCACAAACCAAAAGCTCAACTGCTTTTTCCATCAATTGTGGTAGCCTTAGTTGTACATCTTAGCAACAGTGCCACAATTATTTGATAAATATGTTTTTTTTTATTATGGAAGAGTCTAGACTAAATGATGATTTAACAGTCTCATTTGGACCAGATGCTGCTTCTGAAACTGTGATAATTTTTTGAATGTCTGCACAGACTTGAATATTTTTTTTAAACCACTTCCTAATAAGTGGAACTGAGTATGCCTTGCAGGGCTTCTCTATAAAAACGTTGGTTAAGGTGATATTTGAAATACAGTAGTTTGCCAGAGGAGAGCAGATTCAGTACTGCTTTGGAATCAGCCCTTACAAATTCTGGGTAATAACACAATAGTACATAAATACTACTGAGCTCTGTGGTTGACACCATCATAACTGTGCTGCTGTACATGGAAATAATTAATAAACAGTACTAAATTTTGCCACAGTTTACTCTTTAAAAAAGAGTCTGCTCTGTGCCTGACATTCCAAAATGTTTTGCATACTTTGGCCATGTTTATTAGAGGTACTTATAATTTATTTGTTCTCCTCCTCTGCCTTCACCACATCACCTCCTCCTCCTCATTGCCCTTCTTTTCCCCTCCATACTGTTCAAACCTTCCGAGACAGAAATGCTTATTCCAAACAAAGTATATATCTTGGGAGGATCGGAATTACTGTGTTTCCCCGAAAATAAGACAGGTCTTGGGAGGATCGGAATTACTGTGTCTCCCCGAAAATAAGACAGGGTCTTATATTAATTTTTGCTCCAAAAATGCAGTAGGGATTATTTTCAGGGGATTTTTTTTTTCATTTACAACAATCTTCATTTATTGAAATACAATCATGTCATCATCTTCTGGCTACACAATGCTGCACAATGTTGGAGGGTGAGGTTTCACTTAAGTTGAGCTTATTTTGGGTGGTAGGGCTTATATTACGAGCATCCTGAAAAATCATACTACGGCCATTTGAAATAAGGATATGAAATATAACATGCCTAGATATATACAGGTATAGTATAATGTAGTATGGGAATAGGGCATAAGATCTGTTTCTAGTCAGAATTATATAATGGATAAGTCTGAAGTATGTGTCAAAAATTAATAAAATTTAATATATAAAAATCATACTAGGGCTTATTTTCAGGTTAGGTCTTATTTTTGGGGAAACAGGGCAGGCAGGGATGTCTGTAATTCCCTGCAGCAACCTCCGTTTCTTCCCAAACAGACTGAACAGAAGCCCACATGTTCACTGGAATTGGAAACACTTCTTTTCCTGCTTTCACTTTCAGTTGCCATTGCATAATATTTTATTAAAAGTCGTTTCTGAAACCATTCTTACATTTACAAGGTTGACTCAGCCTTCCATCCTTCCGAGGTCGGTAAAATGAGTACCCAGCTTGCTGGGGGGGCAATGTGTAGCCTGTATAATTAAACAACCATTCTTACATTTACATGGCCAAGTCTATCCATATCTCAGCAGCGTAGGCTGCTATCTTTCCTTTTCACAAAGGGTGGATGTTTATTCAGAGAATGAATCCAAGAGGAGGAGCCCTTAATCTTGCTTACTTCTTTTTTCTTAAACCAGCTGCCTCACTAATGGTTCTGCCCAGTCACCTTGGTTAACACATCTACTAATAAATGCATCCCCACATCACTCTCTTGTTTACATATGAAGTACTTCTTTTTATAGTTTTTTTCTCCATTTCCCAAGCACCTGTTTTTCTACTTCCATCCTGAAATGCTGCAGAGCCTTTGTATCTTTGTTTTTGTTATGAGCATCAAGTTATTCTAATTTATGGTGAGCCCTAAAATGTCCTTAATAGAGATGGGGACAAATAAAAAAATGGCCATTCATTTTGATCCAAAAAATGGCTATTCATTTTGATCCATTATTCGTCAAGTTTAACGGAGCAACGAATACGAATATACAAATATTCTTTGACAAATCGACAGATCGATCTGTAAATTTTTCTGCACTTTAAATGGCTATAACACTGGTCCCTGATGACCTAGAGACACCAAATATGCAGGGAAGCTTCCTCAGATGAATCTCTACAACACTGAAAGTTTGGTGAACGATCACGGACCCCCAAGTTCTATAGTCACAAGGAGGATCCCCTCAAGAAAGCCCCCCTCAGGTACTTAGAGAATCCAGAATCACAATGGAGCTTCCTGTGTCTTTCCCCAACATGCCTACCAACTTTAGTGAAGATTGGCTATCAGAACTCCGAGTTACTCACCCACAAATTGGGTCCCCCCAGAAAAGTTTGCCACACAGCACAGAAGCCCATGGCATTGAGGGAGTTATATTTAGCCCCAGTGGAATGAGAGGTTCCTGTGGTAGGGGCATGCATGAGGCATTGAGTTTGTCTTCAGCTCATCACACCATTACATTTGCCAGTGAAGTAGAGTTTGCCCTCAGGACATGAGGAACGGAGGCAAGGAGGTATTTGGCAGCACAGCAGGCTTTTTGGCTTTGTCAGGCACTGAGGAAGTTGGCAACAGGAAAACAGGCTCTTTTGGGCCCCATCAGGCACTGAGGTGGTTGGCAGCTGGAAAGCAAGCTTTTGGGCCCCATCAGTTAATCTAACAGCAGTTGATCCATGCGGTTGCAGGGCTTTTGGAGCCCGATCAGGACCGCAAACTGAAGCCGTGCGATGGGGGTGATGGTTTGATTCCTGGACTGGCTTGGGTGGGGCTCGGCCCAGCCCTCTTGGCACGGGGGCGCCTGGGCCAGTTTTGGGTGGGGCAGGGTTGGGGATTAACAAAAGGTGACCATGGAGGTGTGTTGTTTGTTTTTGAAAACAAAAGGAGGCAAGCAACACTTATTAGCAGCAACAATAACACCATCAGATGAATTGCTCCACCTCATTGGGAAGGTACTACTAATGGTGTCGGTATTCCGCGTCTAGTCATGCTCACCACATGAGGAAATTGGCAGCACCAACGTATACTGTATTGCCAACAAACTGTTGGCAAAGTGTTGCCAACTGTGCGTTGACAACAAAGATAGCCCTCAGAGGGCTCTCTTGGAACAGGTTGAAAAACCAGATCAGGTCTGCAATCTGAAGCCGTGCGATGGGGCAATGGGGCGACGTCTGGACAGACAAAGAGCCCAGCTTTGGATGTGCCAACATGGCTGGACAGCCCTCTGTCTTGGCAGACTATGGTTGTCACCCAACACTTTGCTCTTTTACACTTTAGTTGTACAAGAGCAACTATTTATTCATTTTACTTACTGCTCAGTCTGGGCCTGCCAAGAGAGCTGGATGGCCCTCTTCGCTTGTTCAGGGGTGCCCAGAACGGCTGTGGTTGTGCCTGCCAAGAGGGTTAGATGGCCCTCTTGGCACATTCAGGTGATGCACAGACAGGCTTTGGGTGGGGCAGAGTCCAGCCGTGCTGCTACTACAGCGGTTAATCCATGGGGCCGCTGGTGAGCTGAGCTAATTTGTTTGGGCAGTTTGCCTACCTACTGAGATGTGGTAGTATACTTTATCATGGTCAAGACCAGTAAAACCAAATCAATATAAAATAGATACATATAATTATTGTTAAGTAAAGTCAGGCAAGGTAATAAAATTCCATTAAAACATGATAAAACAACCCCTTATTTCCAATTAATAACATAATATATCCTTGATATAGGTAAAACCTCAGGCAATGTTATATTAAAACACTATATTGTCCATCTACCCAAATATCTGAACACAACTAACCATTGCTGCAGCACAGAATTTGGCCACTTGTCTTGTAATATAAGGGGTATTGTCCGAGAGTAGCCACTGCACATAATTCTCCTCTGATCTCCCAGGAGATTTACAGATAATAGGTGATAAAATCTCCATGCGAAGATCCCAATAACAAGTACAGAAAAGAAGAACATGACCAACTGATTCAACTTT